GGATCTAGACTTTGGGATTCCTCTTGACACATAAGGAACTCTAGTCACTCGAGACCCATGTTCTGAAATTGTAACAAATGCTTGGGAGGGACAGCTGGAGAAGGACCTGAGTTGTCACCATCTGGGTGACAGAAATCACGCTGGCTGGGCTTAACACCGTTGCTTCCACCTAAAACTTCTTACTATTTTTAGTGATGTGTGTCTGCGCCTGTGTATAGGTATGTGCAGGTGACTACAGAGACCGAAGGCATCAGATCCCCATGGAGCCCAGGTTACAGGTGGTTGTGGGCAACCTGATGTGGGTGCTGGAAACCGAACTCAGTCCTCTGGAAAAGCGGTATGTGCTCTTAAGTACTGAGTCATCTCTCCAGTCTTGCTCCCATTTTTAAAGGAAAAATTTAAATACAGTAGTGTGATATATCTTAAGCTATTCCATGGTTTTTAATGGTGGAATGCATCTGAAATCTCAGTGCTGGGGGTGGGGGGGCAGAAATAGGTGGATCCCTGGAGTCCACTGGCCAGCCAACTGAACTGATTGATAAGTTCCTGACTCACTGAGAGAGACCCTGTGATGGCTATCCTTGGTTGTCAACTTGGCTATATCTGGAATGAACTACAATCCAGAAATGGACAGTATCGATTCCTCAGGGGTCCAAGGGGCTTTGCTATGTCCGGTGTGGGATATCAGGGTGTGTGTGTGTGTGGGGGGGGAAATCTACGTACACTATGTTCTTATGTCTGTTAACTTTATTCCTCTAAGACAACATTCTATCAATTCAGCTATAGTTCCACCAGGCATTCAAGGCAGAACAACTCTAGACATAACAAGCTCTATATCCGTCTACCTTATTTCTCTGGGATGAAATGCTGTCTCCATAACTGCAGTTCCGTCCAGCTCCCTAACTCATAGTCCTGCTAACAATGAACTTCTATGCTTTCAGCCTCATCTTCGTCCTCTATACCCTCCTTCTCCATCTCTGCTACTCTCTACTCCTGGCACTCAGAAAACTCTGCTCGAGATCTGCTTACCCTCTATGGAACCTTTGTTGTCCTCTCTTCTCTCTCGCCATGCTGTTCTGTCTTCGTCTACAGAAAATGCCTGCCTTTTCTTTCCCTGGGCCCTCATTTCCTGCCTCCTCAGGAATGTTGTTTTATCTCTCACCTTGATACGTAAAAACATACGTAAAAACCTCTTTTGTTCTCAGTCAAAGTGCTCTGGAGAATCACTAGGCCTCCTCAAGGCTAGGGTCTGAGCTTCATTAGCACTGGAAACAAAGCTATGCGTCACCCACCAGCTTGTCTCCTAAGCTCAGCAGGGCAGTTAGTAACTTAGTAGGTACAGCAGGTCTGGGGAGCTGTATTGTTTACCAATTGGTCTGGGCACACAAGGATTTCACAGCAGAAGACAGCTGGAATATTAAAGGCTGGGTAACACCAAATATTCATAATAAATGGCTTTTTACCTTTTGACAGACCCTTGGCTGGTCAAAGTTCAGCTTTAATACACAGCTGAATCTCTATGATAAATTCTTGCGACCCGCAAGAGGACAGCACATTTTTTATCTGAATCTTTTTGTTTGTTTTTTTCAAGACAGGGTTTCTCTGTGTAGCTTTGGAGCCTGTCCTGGAACTCACTCTGTAGCCCAGGCTGGCCTCGAACTCAGAGATCACCTGGCTCTGCCTCCCGAGTGCTGGGATCAAAGGTGTGCACCACCACCGCCCGGCTCGATGTGAATCTTGAGGCAAGAAGACAACATGCTTTTGATCCAGACCTTGAGGCGGGAAGGCACATCTTTAATCTGTGTCACACCTTCTTCTGGAATCCTATATAAGGACAATGGAAGAAGGAAGGGCTTGTTCTTTGCCTGTTTGCCCTCACCTTGTCAGCACATCCTATCCAGCTGAGACACCTAGCCTTGCGGGACTGAGCAGTTACTAGATTCTTGGACTTTCCATTCACAACCAGCCATTGTTGTCCAGGACTGCAGCCTGTAAGTCATCCCAATAAATTCCCATCTCTCTCTCTCTCTCTCTCTATATATATATATATATATATATATATATATACACAGTTCTGTAGGTTAACATACCGGGACATTATGTTAAGTACAATAAGCCAGACTCAGAAAGACAAACAGCCAGGTTTTCTCTCGTGTGTCTGTGTGTGTGTGTGTGTCTGTGTGTGTGTGTGTGTCTGTGTGTGTGTGTGTGTGTGTGTACCTTTGTATATGACAAGGAAGTAGAAGGGGCCATCTGAGGGATGGACACATTCAGTACAGAGGGGCGGGAGGGAGAGGCAAGAGCGGGTGATGGAGGCAAAGACAGGTACCGCACACACAGGTTTCTTCTCACATGTGGAACATGGGTTTAAACTTACATATGTGGGGGGGGTCTAGAGACTGGAAAGGGGGGGTCTTGAGAAGAGTTCTTTAAGGGAGGTGGAGGGAGGGAAGAGTGGGCAATCGGCCACACGTTACAGATTTGGGAGAAGGAAAAGAACCAGCTAGAGGCAGGCAAAGGGTGACTTAGATGAGTACAGTGATGGAAACGCCGTGGTGAAGCCCATGGCTTTGTATGCTGTCTTAACTTTTAAAATGGAAGAAAGTATGTGGGGCATGTAGGGAAGGGAACGTGTGTAAAATGGGGGGATGGAGACCAGGGAAGATGAGGGGGGTTGGTGAATGAAAGTACAGCATACACTTACAAAGATGCCTCAGTGAGAGCTATTAACTAAAAGATATAAAATGAACAAAAAATAAAAAAAAGAAAAGAAAAGAAAAGCCACAGAAGTGGAGGTGGGGAGTGTGGATCACAAACCCCAATAGTTCTCTCAAATGGCTATTCTTTATCATCCTGGGTAAAGGCAGTGAAGTCTGGCAGTCAGAGCAACTGTCAGAGGTGATAGCCATAGCCGAATGGGACACCTCTGGCCCTCACATGTGACAATCATGAGCTTTGTAGAACATTCCTAAAAAGGTTCCTAAACGGTGACGCCTTTGAGGTGTGGCCGTCCCTGCCACGGGGATACGTGCTCTGCAGTTGGGTGGCAGCTCCCCATGTCCTGCTTTGCTCGATAAACAGGGGAACCTCCCCTCCCTCCACAAGATGTGCTCAAAGAAATTAGGAACGGATTGGGGCTGCCATGTGTCATCCACAGCAACTCACTCTGTCCCTGGTGCTGTGTCCTCCATCCACCAGTCACAGGTCCCTGACCTCCAGGTTCAGCTGCTCCTTTCTCTCTTTCAATCTTTCTCACTGGTCTCTGCCCTCCGGACCAGTGCATGGTGCCAGGTCCCCTCTGTCCAGCTGCACACATCTTTGGGCCACTGCCTCGGCCCTCTCAAGACTCTAGAATTCCTTGATCTGCGCTTACACCTTAGCTCTGCCACTTGGACTAGCTGGAGCCTCACCTTTCCCTACCTGTTTCCCAGTCAGGAAAATGGGCACACTAACAGGACCTGCCTCGGAGTCTATTGGAAATGTCCACACACACCAAGCACTTAGAACCTGGTGTGGACAGACACAAGCTTGTGTTTCTCTTGCCTTGGGGCTACCCTGTGCCGGGGCAGGGACGGAGAGAGAATGTAGCCACAACTGCACTCCCGTTGTGACGGTCTTGTGAGGTATGCCTGCTGTGGCCAGCAATTTGTATTATTCTAGAAAGGTGGGAAATTCAGGCTGGAGTCTCAAGCTGCGTTTTGGGGTGCTGTGCCAAATGTACCTGGCAAAAACAAATTAAGCAGTGGTGATGACGTGGATCTAGCAACAAAGCAGCAGCAGCAGCAGCAGCAGCAGCAGCAGCAGCAGCAGCAGCAGCATGAGACCCTAGCTATGTGGCAACCACAGTCGGGAGGCAGAGAAGGATGAATGAACGTGCCCAGCTCACTTTGTGTGTGTGTGTGTGTGTGTGTGTGTGTGTGTGTGTGTGTGTGTGTGTGTGAATGTTGAGCAATGTGTGTGGGTGCACTCACCCTTGTACATGTGTAGAAGCCAGAGGTTGAAGTCAGGTACCCTCCTCTATCATTTACTACATTATAATGGTGATGATGATGATGATGATGATGATGATGATGATGATGATGATGATATTTTTCAAAACAGGGTCTCACTATGTAGGCTGTTCTGGAACTCACTCTGTAGACCAGGCTGGATTTCAAACTCACAGAGATCTGCCTGTCTCTGCCTCCCTGGTGTTGGGATTAAAAGTGTGCACCACCACACCCTTCTGCTACCTCATTTTGGAGGCGGAGTCACTGAACCTGAAGCTCATTGATTGGTAGACTGGCTGGCCAGTGAGCCCTGGGATCCGCTTGTCCCCACCTCCAAGTGCTGGGATTACAGATGTGCACGTGATGCCCAGTTCTTTACGTGGAAGCTGGGGATCCGAACTCAGGTCCCTGTGCTTGCACAGCCCTCCTCTCCTGCTTTCTTTTTAACTCATCCATAGGCGGGTGCTGCCCACATTCAGGGTCAGTTTCCCAGGTTACACCTCTTTGGAAACATCCAGGCAGACACACTGGCAGCTGTCTCCTAGGTGGTTTCTAATCTGGTAACTCTGACAGTGAAGATTATGCATAGCAGTCTGCAAATGCTGGTAATTAAATGAAAATGTTTGCAGCCCTGAGCAGCTGGAAGCCTTGCAGCTCTTCCCCTGACTACCGTGGAGTACTGCCTCCTATGTGTGCTGCTCAGTACCTCCTGACGGTTTGTCCAGATGCCGTGGGCCTGCCCTGCTTTGGTCTGAAGAGACGGAGAGGCGCAGTTACTGCTGCGCTGGCTGCTACTGGCAGTGGTTGGGGCTGGAAAAGTCCTTCTGGGCATGTCCCTTTTGTCTCCTGCACCCCCCTCCTCCCCCTGCTCCTCCAGCTGTCCTAAGGCTGCCTACTCCCAGAGTGGAGGGGAGGCGGGAGAGTGGGTGAGCAAGGCAGCCCAGTGCCCAGGCTCTAGTCTCCCCTGCCTCTCCAGGCCATGGGCCCCCTGCCAGGTGAGGGCACTGGCCAAGGCCCAGGGAGAGCAGGGCAGGCCCCTTTCCTCGCAGGGGCCTGCTCAGAGTTCAAGGGTTCTGGGGAGATCATCCAGGCTTCCTTTAAACTGCTGCTGCAGCCGAGCCTGGAGTTTGGAGTTTGACCTGTGTGGAACTTTCTCAGCAGGGAGGCAGAACCATCGCTATCCTCTGCCGCAAAGGACAGGAAATCCCAGGGGTGTCCCTCCTCACAGTCCCTGAGAACCTAGGGCGGTAGGGTCTGCATCCAGAAGAAGGTAAGACCCCTCTTCCCCAAGATGCCCGCTCTTCAAGCTGGGAAGCCCGCTGGGTCTGAGGACTGGACAGCCACTCTGACAGATCCCATCTGTTAACTTCATGGGAATCAGAGAAAGTTTGTTTGCTCTTGGCCTACAGAGGGTGGTTCGGGGGTGTCAGCAGCTGACAGTATAGGCCAGGGTATCTCAGTTCTTCTACCTCATCAAGTTCAGGGGCATTGGGGGAAGGGAGCCCTGGTTCCTTATCTGTCAGATGAGGATTAGGAGGTTAGCCTGGCCCAGCCCCCAGATGTGGCAGAGCAGAGCAGGCCTCACAGAGCCAAGGAAAGGGAAAGGAGCTGCAGCAGCCACAGGAAGCTGGAAAGGATGCATTCCTGCTGAAAATGAGCAAGGCAAAGCCATGGCCCACCTGCACAGCACACCTAACTTCTGGCATCTCTTCCAACTGCACAGCTGCCAGGGAGGGCGGGTACGCAGACATGCCCTAAGGCCACTGAACAACTTGCTCAAGGTGACAGAGTGTAGGGCAAAGCTGAGACCCAGCCCCCTGTGGCTATGAGTTGGTCAGCTCTGGGGAATGGTTGATAGGCGATTGTGAACCTCTGACTTTGAGAAACGCTGCCCTTGGTGGGATATTTGTTTGCAAGACCAGAGTTTATGGCGTGTCTGCTTTGGGGACAGGAGATGAGACAGACAAATTATCCCTGCTTTCCTGTGCTTCCAGTACTGTGAGACAGGGAGTTACAGGAGAGTTCTACAAACCGTGTGCCAGGTGTCGTTAAACCACAGAGTAAATCACATTTGATATGAAAGGAAATAACTTGGGGGTCTGACTTAAGCTGAGGCCAGGAGAAGGCAGATGGGTTGTATGCTAGTTGGCATGTAAGTAATGAGGAGGGTTTTGTGAAACGGGGAAAGTATATCAGACAGAGTGAATGGGAGCCAAAGACCCTGAGGTCAGAGACAGCTTTCAAGGAATAGACAGAAGCAAGCAAGTGATCTGATTTGTGTTCAAATACTCTTTGGCTTCCATAGAAGGGAGAGAGGTTAAAGGAATCTAAATTAGCAGTGGGTAGGAAGAGCGTAACTCCTTACTGTGGGCTGGACACGGGTGAAGGTGGCAGGATGTTGGCGATTTAAGGGAAATGAACAGGTTCAAAGTATGTTTTAGAAGGAGAAGAGAATAGAACTAGAGTTGGATAGATTCAGGAAGTTGAGAAGGACATAAATTATTTGATCAATGTTTGTATGCCATGACATCTTTGGTTCTTAGACACAGTGCTTGGCACACCAAGATGCTCATTCGTCACTTGTTAGATGGATGGATATACAGATGGATGAATGGATATATGGATGGGTGGATGGATGGATAGTTGAATGGGTGGGTGGGTGGATGGATGGATGGGTGGTGGATGGATGGATGGATGGACAGATAGATTCTTGGGGGCAGGTAGATACATGAAAGATGGATGAACAGACTGGTGGATGGCTGGATCCATGAATGGACCTAAGGACTTAGGATGCTTTGGGCTTTGGGTGTGAGTGGTTAGTGACATGGCCAAAGTGGCAGAGGCACCTGCATTTCTGATGAAGAGTTTGGTCTTTGGTCTGTACATGCTAACTTTGGATATCTGTAGGCATGCGTGCAAAATGTCATGGCGTCATTTGAATGAACATGCCTGGGCTATATAGATGACCTTGTGACTTCCACTGTGGTATTTCGGGACAGGGCCACTCCTGAATGGGACAGGTAGATGGGAAGACTCATCTAGTTCCCTGCATCCCATTTGTTACCCTCTGTGGCCTATTAGGGAAAACCGCCTTGCTCTGCCATGCTTAGAAATTCTTCCCCCACCACCAGAACTGTGGTTTTTCCTAATGGGCTGGGATGAGCCAGCCTAAAGTCTCAGTCTACCCATCAGCCCTTTCCACAGTCCTATGTCTGTTTGTTTGTTTTTC